TAGTAAGTTTTTGACTTTTTCCATTAGTCTTGTAGTGAGTTTAGTTAGCGTTTCGTAGGCTACCGATCTAAGACGATCCCTCTGTAGGAGTTCGGGCAGTTGGATCTCAGTTTCCTTTATGTAGATGTTTCAGAAGCGCTGTGCGCCATTCAGGGGGTATTTTTCCTGTCCGCAGACACGTGTTCATTATTTTGGTCCATGCTTCACCAAGATGTAAAAGATACTGCTCATAGGAGATGTCGTGTAGTCCCCGTGTTTGTTTTTTAATTGTATGAAGTAATTGCGGCCTTCACTTAAGTTTCCGCAAAGGGTTCACATTCCTCCCATTCTTCATGAATGATTTCAGGTCTTGTTTCTCTTCGTACAATTGTTCTTTGCATATGCTCCTCTAGTGGCGTAGACTCAATGTATGCGAGTGACGTTCCCTAGTTTTCTATCACATAAAAATATTTTCTGTAAAGTATTTTACTTCTTCCGTAAGTATCTCTCTCTGTTTCTCTATTCCCTCTCGCCTTTTACATGTGCTGTCCAATAGGCGTTAATCCTCTCGATAAATGTGACGGGCCGAGAAACATCCCTTGAACGACCTTGTTTCGTTGGCGAAGTCATTTAACTTACGGCCATGCACTGTGTTCCGGGCTTCTGAGTTCTCATTGGCGTTTAGGTATTCCCTCACAAGAACCTTCGATTCCCCTTCCTCTAATGCAGTTATAATTCGGCAGCGAGCCTGTAAATCGCAGACGTCACGTGCCATGATTCTGGACAGAAGGCCCGACTTTCTTCTCCACAACCATGCAAGTCTGCCAACTATGCCTAAGTACAGTTTAACCTGATTCAGTACAGCTGGGTTAGAAAGCCTGACAAAAGGTCACTCCTTTCACGTAAGGAAATAGCACGATATGGATAGTCCGTGAAGTCGAAACAGTGCGTGCGATGTTATTTCGATCGTCATGTTTGTAGCATTGTAGCGTAAATGCTGCTTCGTACTTAATGTGTGTTAAATAGACTACTTTGTCTAACTAGTGTTGCGTTAGAGAGAATCGTGAATTCGAAATTGTAACGAGAAAGAATAGAAGTTTTGTGTGTATGTGAAAGGAGTTGGTATGGTGAGTTCATCCAGTTCATTGGTGGTAGTGGATGAGTTAGTTACTTGTGGCAGGGAAGAGTAGTGAAACGTTTCATTGTGTTATAGACAGGATTCTTCACATTCCTTTTGGTTCTTTCTCCTATTCTGAAAAACTGAAGGTAAATTAGTGGTCGACAACCATTAAATATTACCACAATACAGAGCAATTGTGTGTGTGATTTCAGTGGTAAGATATATGAAAGTGATCATTGGATTTGAGGGTGTGAGATTAAAAATGTATTGATGGGCGATCTTCGTTCGAGCCCTCAAGTCAAGAGGATGTGACCGCTGTATTTGCTAGAAAACAGCGGCGAAAAGATCTCTAGTTCAAAAGTTGGGTTTAATCCGCGCACGTTTTCTTGAGCTCTGGTTTCGCTAGTGACGAGAGGAGTGGGGGGAGTTGGGTTATTTTGACAAAAATAATTTTATGTCATTTTTTAGTTCGTTTTTTGATGCAAAATAGTTTCATTACACGGGAGCAAACATCTCTGGTTATCATATTTTGTTTACAATGCTCGTTTCTATCATTTATTCTAATTCAACCAATGTTGGCAAAGGAGTGGGGGTAGATACTCCGGAGCTCAAGAAAACTTGCGCGTATAATATGTACTTTTTATGATTAATTTTTACTTTCACCTTACACGTACCTATATAGGGGGTATTATACGTAGTATAGGGAAAGTTATGTAATGCTGCTGAAAATCGATTTTGAGTTTTCAATAGATATACACGTTTTGGGATGCCCTGATACGGAAAAAAGTGTTTTTTTAAAACGTCCGTTTGTCTGTCCGTCATGAGTCCGTGAACATTACTAGCGCCTAAACAAAGCGTAGGATTTTTTTCCAAATTGAAGAAGCCCTCGTGCATCATCGTCGAGTTGAAGCTCTGACATTTGAAAAACATTCTTTAAAATTTGGGTGTACTTTACATGAAGCCCTCCAGGCATATTCATAATTTTCTCTAAAACTGTTCCGAATTTTTCTTCACACTGTTGAGAGAGGTAGTGCGAAATTACTCTATTAGATGACATGGACACTATATTGCTGTATTCGTTTGTTTTTTCACAAATGTATTTTTTGTCGTGTCTCTCACGTCGTCAATATTTATATTAGCGGCAATTTGTTCACAATATTGCATTATGAGTACATGTGCTTTAAATAAAGTAATGTAAAGTTCCAGGTAAACTCAACAGTTATCTGTGGAAACTAGCTCAAATTTCTGCATTTTCAGAAACGTCCAAAATACCATTTTCTCAAAAACAGTTACACATTTTTTTTCTTCAAACTTTTCGAAAGGATAGTGCTAATTGCACTCTTAAATATGATGTAAAATTCATTTGGGGTCATTTTTGTTTTGTTCTGAAATTATACAAATGTAATGTTTTTGGAAGATCTCTCACGCCGTTAATATGCACATTACCACCAATTAGTAAACACTATTGTATTTGTGAGTTAATGTGCTTTAAATAACTTTTAATAAAGTTTTTCGAAAACTCAAAAATGTTGTGGAAAAGAGCTTCAAATTTTGAATTTACAGTAGCGCCTAAACATTTTCATAAAAACGACTCCAAATTTTTCCAATAAAATTGCCAATTAGGACAATATTTTACTGTTCTTTAAAAAAAATATTTCCGCTCTATTTGGAATTCGAAAAATTAAGACAGTTTAAAAAAATGTACGTTAGGCGGCGATAGATGGCAACTGGCAAGAGTATGTAACAAGTCCGAATAGCTTGCCAAGGCCAAAGGAAATAGAAAACTAATATGGGAAAGTCTTTGCCATTTGTAGCACCACTAGTTTCCACAGCGATGAGGTTTTCTTCAGTCAAAGCAGTCGCCGGACGCCCGCCCCTCTCCCCGTCTTTCGACAAAGTTGTCTTCTTAAATTCTCGAAACTACTGAAAAATTGTCGCACGGGAAGACGCAAGGTCCCCGAAGGACAGTTAGAAACGACTAAGGCTTTCAGATTCGTTTAAATCACTTTTGAAGTAATAATCATTTCAAGAAAGTGCTCTCTGGCCGGTTTCATTCTGACAACTGAATGCCTCCCCGTCGCCCACAGAAAGAAAAGTTACATCGATAAGTCGAGCATGTTCCTACTTACATGCATTACATCGCTGTGGAAAGATAACAATGGACCACAAGGCAGTATATCTCAAAACATACGTAGCTACCTCCGTATGTTAGAAAGAAAAAAAAAGCCTTTAGCGATACTTGAAATACTTTCGGCTCTTCCAATTCATCATAAGCACAACCCTCTGGATGTTACATACGAGAAATCGTGGAAAAAACTATTGCGCAGACACGAAGCGTTTCTCAGCAAAATGTCACAGGAAACATTTGCTCATCGAACTGAAGATAAGACAGTGTATTTTTACTGCCTGAAAGAACTCAACCTGTTCCAGTTTGTTTGTTTTGTGTGTTGTTGTTTTTTTCTTCCTACCGAAAATCGAAATAAAATTCCAGTTTCAAATAGACGTGTTACTTCCCTACAATGAAAATATCTTCCTCTTGTAAATACTCAGTATTTCTATCTTGTATAATAATAATTTTTAAAGTTTGTCAACATCTAAAGTTGCCACCTCTTCGAGTTTCACCCGGAGACTTCGGGTTTCGTGACCGATTTCCGGGCTCCGAGTTTACTACTTTCATCGCCAGGTCATGCACAATATTGAATGTAATACGCGTTCAAATGTTTCTGATTCTTAGATTTCAAGAATTTGCACGCAATTTCATTTTTTTAAATTAAAAATTGTTTTACTTGATGAGATTCGTAGAAATAAATAAAAATTGGTGTTTTCTCTTTTTTTATAAATTACAAATAAAAATATTAAATGAATTTACATTAGAGCTCGACTTTATGAGAAGATCTTTGCAGATAACAAGACTGGATAAAATAAGGAACGAAGTGGTGTGGGAAAGAGCTGGGGTTCAAACAACCATAACCAGAAGACTAGAAAACAAAGCTCTTCAATGGTATGGACATGTCCAGAGGATGCGAAATGAGAGATGGCCAAAACAAACTATAAATTGGATACCTGAAAGAAGGCGTAAAAGAGGTAGACCTAGTTTAACCTGGAAGAAATATATATACGAAGTCATGGAGGAGAAAGGATTGGAAGAGGGTCAATGGGAGGACCGAGAATTATGGAAATCGAAAACGGCAAACTCTAAGGGGTAGAAACCGTCGAAGAAGAAAGAAGATGAATTTACATATATTTCTACGTTTAACTGGCTCACTATAGACCAGTTCTTTTCAACGGATTTTCTCAATTATGGGAAACATTTGGTCCGACTTGAGAAACAGTACCGAGGATGAGAGTTGAATTAGTCAAAGCAGAACTCTTTACAAAACTAAACTATGATATGCCTAGCGCCGAATTTCACAATTCGTAAACAATAAGCACGTATGCTTACTAAAGAAAGCAGTTTCAAATGAGAAATATACTTTGAAGAAAAGTTCGTTTTTAAAAATAAATATTACAGAAAAGTAATGTAGAGATTCTATTTTTAATGTTATCATTTATTAGTTTTATAGATTGTTGACTATGGAAATGTAATTTATTTGATTGTTTCTAAACTAATAAATTAAAATTATGATTGTTCAATTAAAAAAATATGTGTAAATGTTAAATAAAACATACCCTACCCCCCTGCTCATGAAAATCTCTGGGTGAGTATGTGTCAATAGGTGGCAATTCTATCATCATCAATGGCTAAATTTAAAGAACATCTTAACAAAATTGGAACTATTCAGGAGAAAAAAATTTCCATTACAAACTAATAAAAAAAAGGATAAATTTCAACAAATTTCCAGTCAATTTCAGTGATCTTATCTTTTGGATGACATTATTACCTCAAAACCATGCCAAATACCTGCAATGCTTGTCTTCTCACTGGTTCTTGTGGTTTATCAGGTGAAATTTTGATGCATTTTGCATTTCTAAATACTTCCAAATCTGCCAGTTTCTGTGCAGCAGCTTCACTTCCTTTAAAATTTGGAATTCTACCATGGACAGGGCGAGGAAATAGTGCCAAATTGTGTTTTTCCAAATAATCCCACACTTGTTTTCTGATACTCTCTTTTGTAATATGTTCCAGGGTGTTATTCACTACAATGAAGTAAAAGTAAACCATAGGTATAAAAAAGATAGAAAATACAATTATAATGTAATTTAACAAGTGAAATAAATTACTTATTGTAATATTTTCTTATAATAACTAACTTCTTCAAAACAAACTTTTATCAAATCACAAGGTGTAAGTGCGAAGAACATATCGTTGCCCATGCACTAACTTAAAAAGATTTTTGGGGTATCATACAAATCCTCTTTCTCAGTAGTCTCTATTTATCCTCTTTCTATTCATATACTGCACTATACGGAAAACCAAATTAATTAATTTTGCAGATAACACTGTTAAGGATTTTTTTAAAAATCACTTTGTTAATGCAACACAGCACAATCTACGTATAGTGCTATTGACAAATATTAGCTTATTGAACATGACTTCAACTTCAGATAGTACTCTTTTGCAATGAAATTCATTTTAATACAGGCAATGAGTCAGTAAGGCTACAATGGGTCAGTGTGCAGTATTTCCCGTTGTTGTACTGCAAGAAGTTTGAGTTCAAAACTGAGGACCTTGCTGTATGCTCTACACACAATAATATGGTACATGATGATCAAAATGGCATTTGCAAAAGCAAGAATGATTTAGGAAATGGTTGTGATTAACTTTAAAAATGTAAATTAAAAGTGAGAGTAAGTAAATAAAGAAAAGTACGGCCAGAAAATTCTTATTTGCAAAACATTTCTAATGGCAACTTTACATATCAGTAATAAAGTTATCACTGCCCAAAAGAAGAAAAATGATACTGAAATATTAACATAGCATTTGCACGATAGACTGGGAATCATAGTACAGTTGACATCATAAAGAAACTGTATAAAACATACAAACATATAGAAACTGTATAAAACAACTATACCTATATATAAATAAAAGGAAATGTGCATATATGACAAACTACTACACAGGTTTCAATGAAATTTTCACACTTCGTTCTTATTAATAATGGGAGTGTTTACAGAGTGGTTTGAATTAAATCAGACATGAGGGTGTGTTGATGATTTATTCATTTACTGCGAATGCATGTCCAAATTTCAGGGAGAATGTTTTAACAATAGGGTACTTGACAACCATGTCCAAACCAGGACACAGAACAAACCCATACTTGCGACTAAGTCTTTCATCTCTTAGAATTTTTGCACAGCGTAGCGTAAAACATGATTAACAATCACAGGAACAGTAGTGTATGATGTGCAATACTCTGCAGTAGAAAAACATTTCTGGGTCCACTAGTTTAATACGTATTTCAGACCCACCATCCATCAGAGTATTTTTTAAATTTGGGGAAACTACAAGGGGTGACCAGCAATTACAATTCGAAAGAGAGAAAGATCTCATTGCATTATGTTACGCACTGGTAACTCCACATGCCTATCAGGATTTCTACAGAAGTCTGCCTACACACGAGAATCACACAGATGAACTCTGATAATCATTAATTGTTTGTATTAATAAGCAGTAGTTAAGTTAAAAAACAAACTATCTGCAAAAGGTTGTTCATATAATGTGTGGCATAATATGGCACTAACTGAAAAAAACAAATTAGCATTAGGTAATAAGGAAAGCAAACAATTTTTCAATTAAAAATTGACATATATCCACACACAGTGAAAAAAAATCATACCTTTTTATCAATATTCATTATATTTCAAACCACAATGAAACTATTCTCTCTTCTGCTGAAAACAGAGATTTTTGAGATAGTGTTGTATTGTTCTTGGGCAACGAAATTATGGATATACTGCTAGTTGAAAATCATTGTGGAAAACTCCAAATCATTAATTTTTTAGATATGACCATCGGAATAATGGGACATAAATAATTTTTTATATAAAAGAGGGTAGCATATACATCGACTTCTTTCTTTGATAATTGTTAAGGCTATAATAGTAGAATTGAGTTGCCCTCTCATTAAAGGGAAAGGAAAATTTGCTGTAAAAAACACCATTTCCCCTCCCCACCCCAAAAAAGTAACAGAATCAAGCCACTATGACTGTCAAAAGAGAAAGTGAAATAGAATTTCTACAATAAATTATTTGAATAATAAGTAGGCCACGGAAAGAAAACTGATCACATGTTACAAGCTGTAGCAAAAGTACCAAAACAGGAAAACAACCAAAAATGACAAATTCCAGTAAGCTAACAAAAAAATGGCTCTATTGCATAAATCAATTCACTGCCTGTTGTAATACAAATTCCATGAATGGATCACTCGTTTCAAAATGTTTTTGATTAGATTGGTAAAGGAGATCAAAAATCAACAGAGCCTGCTTCAGAACTTTTGTTGAAATGTTTTGTTTCTCCTTACCCCTGGATTTTTAATTTTTATTTATTTGCAAATGCGTGTAATGAAACATGTTTCTATAAACAATCAAAATTATTTTCTATTTAAACACATTTTGTTTACTTTTCTAAACTTAACATGAATGCATGAACACTCCCTAGGCACACCTATAACAATAGCTACTGTTTGAGTAACGTAAAACACACATTGTCTTGACGATATAAAAATACAAGCAATATCATTAGTAATACACATGGAGACCCTATTCTTAAATTCATGAAACATCATTTCTAATTTCAATTAACATGATGGAAACACACACATGAACATTTGGATTACTTCTCAGGTAACAAATGAAAATCAATATAAAACTGTCAAGATGTAATTTCTGAAGTTCTATCTTTTTTACAAAACAGTATAAACTTCTGAAAAATAACTGATATGATAAATGAGAAGGAGAAAGCCAAATTACATGCCAAAAGCAGTCAAACTACTCTATGTGCACTGAATTTAACATACACTATTTACACCAAAAACTAATGTCACATTAATCTTCAAGTTTATGAACAGCCCAATATTCACAGAAAACACTAATGAACTGTTGAATAAGTTCTTTATCAAGAGTTTTTAATGCCCGCTGGTGAATTTCTTTAACCTTTTTTGGATCCCCTTTTTTAACTTCAAATTTTACATACTCCATCCAGACACCAATATCATGCTTGCCAAACTGGTCACAAGCAAATTCAAAACACCTTGTAATTCGAGTCATTTTCACTTTTGGTTGAAGACTTTCCAATTCTATCATTTTCTTATGAATATCAAAACAGAATGGAGGCTGATAACACAATGCATCATACATTGTACGAGCAGCCTTTATTCCTTTCACTGAAACAATCCACTCCAAATACATTTGCTTCAAAGCAGATGAAACAGAAGGTCCTTGTTTCATACCATCTTCAAAAAGTTCCTTAACTTTATCCACAGACTTTGTTTTCCAGTACTGAATTACCATTTTCCAAATAGAAAGAGATTCATTATTTCCCAAGGAAGCAGTACCACGTTTGAATACGTCCATGACATTTTGGTCTTGATCTTGCAACATATAATGACGCAGCAGCAATTCACACAATTCTGTACTAGAGGGAAACTTTTCAGTAGCCTTACATAAAACTACTGATAAATTTTCTGTGCCAATTCCAACCATGTCAGCCCACTGTATGTAATGCTTTTCTTGCAAACGATCTGCATCATGAGCACTCTGGAAAGCAGAAAACAACAGCTTTCTCTTGACCTTCTTTAGAATTCTAATATCTTGATTAATTTCTATTAACGCATCCAAATACAGCTCCCACATTCGTTCTGTATTTAAGTGCTTTAACCCATTTTGATATACAGTAAAGCAGCGTCTGATTCGCATATAATGAACTTTTTCACTCTCAGTTTTTGCAGCTTGATGGGGAACAGAATTTTCGTTTGTTTCAATTTTACCTTCCTCCATACTTGAAAAATGATCTGAAGCAAAGTGAGTACCTTTCAATTCAAGACGAGCTAATGTATCCCAAGTCAGTTCATCATCTGAAAAATGTATCAACAAATCTTTCATCATTTCTGACTGTAGTTTTTCAGTAAAATCAAAATGTTTTGCAATATTGAAAAAACTAATTAGAAAAGAAGCTTCCGGAATCCTTTTAATAGCATTTTCATAAATAAATTTGGCATTTTGACAACCAATAACAGGATCTATCGAGTCTACAGGATCTTGTATTGCATCCTTCCACTGCAACACATGGCTTTCAGAAATGTGTGGCTGTCCTGAAGAATTAGCATCCCCACTTTGAAGAGAATCAGGATTTACAGATGAACAGGAATCATTTTCTTTCTCTCCTGGGTGAAGTTTTGAACCCTCAAATGCCATTTCCTTCTGTTTCTTTTCTGAATAAATCAATTCCAACCTAAAAGCCTCTTCAAAGAGCAATTTGGAGGTCGGATGGTGTCTCAAACCTCTCATAATGAATTGGATAGCATTTTCAATTGATTCGTTTTCTTCAAATTCCCAATCTGCAGCAAGTTTCCACAAACTTGGTTTGGAGCTATGAACACCTAACATGGTAATCAACTTGTTGCTCACATTAACCTTAAAAATCTTAATTTGCTTACAAAATTTCATGTACGATAACCATAAATTAATATCTCTGCTAAATCTATTAAGAGCATGTTCAAATAATTTATTGACACGACGGGCAACAATCATATCCACTTGATTATGCTTCTTCTCAACAAGCCCAAGCTTCTTCCTCCGAGTCTTCACCAACATTAGCAAATTCATTTCATATTGGATGTATTGTACATAATCTTCCAAGTTTTTTGTTTGTCTCTGAATCTTGTACTGAAATCTTTTTCTCGATTTTATAATTTTGCGAATTTCAGCTTCATTGAATATTCGGAATTGTTCTAATTGTTCCAATTCGGGGATCATCTCCTCCGTTTGAAATTCCACAAATTCTGCCATATTTTCTTGATTTCTTAAGTCTGTCGAAAAAAAACTAGTTCTCTATATTATTAAACAACACGCACGGATTCACTAGAAGCAAATCACTCTCTCCTCTCTTGTGTCACGTACAGTTTTGCATGGTTTTGCAGAAGCATGCACACACTGAAAACACGAACCCTCAACACAAGATAGGTTATGAACAAGGAAGCATCGGGAATCATAAAACAATTGTTTTACCAACTTGAACACACGAAAAAGCTTTGTGGGATTTATCAACGTCATTCTATACTTTATATTATTGAGTATCTCCAACCCCAAGAGATCATCCAACAAAAATCAGGCAAATGAATAAATGCTTAATACATTTTGTGTATTACCAAATCTCAATGAAGAAGCAGAAATTGAAAGAAAACAACGTAGCCTCCAGCCGCGAGAGAGATGCTTATGATTTCATTAGATGCCTAGATATGCGAATAAACATGCATAAATATTACGAAGAACTAAACCGAGTGTATAAATACAAAAGTGTAGATATACAAACACATACTAATGTCTATATAGGGGGAGATTTCTCTGAATTGGCACTTTTTATCCGTTGCTTAAATGGATAGCTAAGTGGAATTTCTTGACATTTGGTTAGAATATGATGCTAATAGTACATCATAATTCTAACAAATGGTCAAAGAAATTCCCACTTAAAGCTTAAATAAAAAAATAAAAAATAAATAAA